TGTCAAGCTGACCACCGCATCAAACCAGTGCCGATGGGAGATATAGTGCGGAAGCACGCGCGCAGCGACGAGGAAAACTTAGAAGGGCCACTGCGAGGAGCAACCGCAGCCTGGTCGCATCAGCTCCTCCCAGGCAGAACCAGACGCGGGAACAGATTCCTCCTTCTGCTCTTTCCCCTTCTCTTCGACCGCAAACCGCCACCGTTCCACCGGCGCGGGCTTCTCCTCATCTCCCTCCTCCTCCTCATCATCCTCCTCGTTCCCCCCGTTATCCTCCTTCTCCCCCCCTCTCCTCCTCCTCTTGCTCCTACTCATACTCCTCATCCTCCTCCTCCTCCTCCTCCTCCTCCTCCTCCTCCTCCTCCTCCTCCTCCTCCTTGTTCCACCAGTTATCCTCCTTCTACCCCCCCTCCTCCTCCTCTGCTTCTGCCAGTGGAGGTCCTTCCCCTCCTTCTTACCACGCGAATGTATGCAGTAAAACACGTCGCCTATTGACGTCGTCTATGGATAATTTGGTGGCGTGGAAGATCGGCGGCGAGCGAGGGGGGGGAGTGAGAAGGAGAAGGCCTTATCAGAAGGCGGCGGGGCTTCCCAGAGGGCTTCTTGTGTTTTCGGGGAAGGCTTAGAAAACTTCTCAGAAGGCCGGGGGACTCAAGCCTTCTGAGAAGGCCCGTCCCTTCTCACTTCTCCCCTGGGCTCGCCTCCGAGCTGGCCGAAGCCCCGTGGTGTCTTTCTTGGCAGAGTACTGTCACCCACCATATATACAAGAAATGGTGCTGGCCCTGTCCCAGGGCCATGACGTCGGCTTGGTCCACTGGTGAAGCCTATCTCGTAGAATGTGTTTCCACCCCGGCTGCAATGACTCTCTACTGCTTCTCATGTGCACTCCCAACGGATGGAAACAACGCGCGAGATCTTCTGCGTCAGAGTATAAACACACAATAGACTCATTCGATGATATCGTTACATCCGCCCGCTTTAAACTCTAACCCATCATCAACGGATTTGTGGCACGAGAAGCCATCTTGTCAACCGTGTGAAGTTTTCGGCTGATTGCACTTGTAGAGAACAGTTGTTTAGATCCCAACGCTAACATGGTCTTCAACTCCGTCGCACGGCGGAGATAGGATGTGATAGAAATGGCGCATGTCCCTGTGACGGGTGGTTTCATAGTCCATCTCAAGCCTTGCAAAGATGTCGGGCGACGACAGTGACGTCGGCGGTGACACCGTGTGGTATCAAAGGAGAGTCCTCCCTTATCTGTGTCCTTCTTCTCTTCCTGTGAGCAGCACCCACCGCGCCACGACATTGCTCTGCTCTCGTGAAGTGTTCACCACATACCCTCCTCATTCTCTCCTCTTCCTGCATCCCTCCTCTCTTTCTCTCCTCTTCTTCCCCCTCTTCCCCCTCCTCCTCCTCACCACCACCACCACCGCCACCATTCCTCCTCGTTTCCCTCTCCCCCCTCACTCCGTTTCCTCCTCCTCCTGCTCCACCTCTTCCCCCCTCCTCCTCCTCCTCCTCCTCACCACCACCACCACCCCCACCCCCACCACCACAACCACCACCCTTCCTCATCGCTTCCCTCTTCCCCTCACTCCGTTTCCTCCTCCTCCTTCTTCTCCTCTCCTCCTCCTCCTCCTCCTCCTCCTCCTCCTCCTCCTCGGCTCCCTGATGGACATGTCTGATCACCAGCAAGCGAAGGACAGCAAAAAAATTAAATAAACATACAAACAAACAAAAAACGTCCCCGACGTCGGGCAGAGCAAAGGACATGATTTGTGCACAGAGTCTGTACAGCGCGCAGCCACTTACTTCACTCTTATCGCCTGCCTGCGCAGGTCAACCGAGACTGTCCAAAAGCCACCCTTCGTCGAAGATCGACCGAACTGAACCCCTCAGACTGCACAATCGACTTCAGCAATCGATGTCAATCTCCAGGCATCGAAACAAACCGTTGAATCGATCGAATCGTCGACAAACCTGTCAATATGACGTCGTAGATAACCCCACCAGTTTCAAAACCTGCAAAATGACGACGTCGACATCAATAGTGGCATGCAACTTGATTGCGAGTGCTAAGCCTCCAGGGTAACGACGGTGATGGCGATGATGCACACTTTGCTTGCAAGGGGCATGGAATGCTGAATATCTCGATGGCAGCGGTGATTATCACCTTACGACGGTGAGAACGATAATGAACAAGCGTAACATCGCCATACGACTCATCCCTCAATCCCTTCTGCACGGCATCTTTGACGCAACATGCCGTCGGCGCGCACAAGGGGGTGGGGGGAGGAGGGAGAACATCTCAGAAGGAGGCTGCTTCTCAGAAGTCGCCAGTCTTACGTCTAGAGTTAAGGGCCCGCGATTTCTGCGAAGTAGTCTCCTTCTAAGAAGCCTTCCCCCCTCCCCCGACGCCCTCTGCACGTGGCCGAACATGAGAAGCGAACGTGGCTGCATTTGGAAATAATGATGATAATGTTCTGTCACATGCATCAGCACTACGTCGGCCAACCACTCAGGTGAAATCAGACATCCATACTTGCAAGTGGACATAGAAGTGCACATGCGTATAAGCCAAACATGAGATACTGCCACCTCTCTCACTGCTGTGTTGCCCTCTGAGCCTCAATAGCTTTGCGCCCAATCATGGTTTCTTCAAGTACCACTTATCCTACACACCATCTCTGTACCTCTCCAGGCCCATGGCACGCAAAGACAGATCGACTGCCTCGTTCGTGAGTCGCCATGCTGACCAAATCGTAAAAGCGACCACGTTGTCCACTACAAGTTGCCTGACACGGGGGCCAAATCTCTCTCGCATCAAGAAGGCAGCAACACATATAAGACCGCCACCCGGACAATGAAATGATTGGGGAGAGTGTTGGTGCGGCTTTCGGTTCTTGATGATCTCGCGTCAGTTTGCTCTACCTTTTTACAACCAGATCATGTCACATCCAATCGTAGAACTACCCAACCTCCGCAAGGTCGGCTCAACGATCGCCCCCAGTAGCGGACACGGGTGGCAACGAATCAATCATAGACACACCACCCCCTGCTCAGGAGCGGGCACAGGCCGCAACAGGGCGAACCCTCGACACGCCCATCCAAAGAGACTCAGAGCGGCGATGAGCCGGCACGAGCGGCCGCGGGGCGAATCCTCGACACACCGACCCGGCGACTGCGAGCGGCGACGAGTAGCGACTCGGCGACGACAGGCACGGGCGGCCGCAGGGCGAATTCTCGACACACTTTTTTTTTGTCGGAGCGGTGGCCCGCGCGCGCCGCGTCCGCAGCTTTCGGTTGGGCATCTCACCCTACAGGCGGATCTGGGGCGAAAATAAAAAAAACTCCGAACGTATTCAAAAATAGTCAAACAAAGTCCGACTATTCTTGACTATTCTTGAATATTCCTCCTGCAGAGGGACACGCCCGACTGAACCGTGGCTCGAAGCCTCGACGCACCCGCCAACAGACTCCGAGCGGGGCGACGAGCGGCGACCGCGATGCGGCACGGCGGGCACGCGCGGCCACAGGGCCGCGACTCCTCGACACACCCAGCCAGCTGCAAGGAACTCAGTACGAATCCTTAGCACAAGCACCACTCTGGGCAGTGTGTACAGTGGAGGCTCGTCCACAAGAGACCTTTCACAAGAAGCCCAACCCTGAGATCCCAGGGCGTCCATGGATTTTTGGTGTGGGAACGCCACCCCATCCGTGGCAAAGCCATCGAGACCCAAGAAACCCATGGCACCCTGGAGGCAAGCAGGGTGTTTCTTGGCATGGGTTTCCACTGTAGGAACCCTGAGCGCAAGCACCATCTGGGCAATGTGTAACGCTCCAGCGTACCTCAAAGTACTGATTGGAATGTCCTCAGGTATCCCGGAGAGGCACTACAAGGTTCCCCTACTGTAACGCTCCAGCGTGCCCCAAAGCACTCATTGGAATGTCCCCAGGTCTCTCAGAGTGGCACTGCTAAGTTCCCCTAACAGCGCCTGGACTGAGGAAGCCTCATCTCGTTTCTAAGGAACTGGTCCTGGACGCCAGTCTGGCGGCTATGCGGTCGCCGTCGCTGCCCCGTCGCCGCTTCATCGCCGCCCGTCGCCTGGGCCTGCGGGCCGCTCTGGCCACCATGTCGCCGCCGTCGCCGCCCCGGCGCCGCCCGTCGCCACCTGGAATGCACCGCGTCAGCCAGATAGTGTGGCGCCACCGCGGCCGCGTCGGTAGCGCAAAACTATCAGGCCGCTGCGCGCGCGAGCACGCACGGCCGCCGCATGCGTTCTGCAAACCAGGTTGCGGGTGGGTGGGTGGGATGATTGCGCGAGCAGTGGAGTGGACAACTCACTGCAAACAGGAACCAATTCTCCTTTCTAAAAAGAAAATAAACTCTCCCCCCCCCCCGGACTTAACGCTTCCCCCTGGGAGAATATAATTTCTCACATATATATATATATATATATATATTCTGCACACTGGTCCATCCTAAACATGGAATCATACCATCCCAGGCAGGCCGGTTTCCCCCCCCTGAGGTTCCCTTTTAAAAAACACTATGCGGTGACATCTGTTGTTATCACATAACACTTGTTCGCGAATCCCTTGCAAAAAATGGGACGAAGTGCGCACGCGCGCGTCGTCGCGCGCATGCCGAGATCCTTCAAAAACCTTCGGTGCCGGGAGGATTTCGCAATCGAGTTTCCAAATAACATACAAAAACACAGGGTTTCGCAGCACTGATTTGCTAAAAAAGCTTCCGCGCGAGCTCTTGCGAAATCTTAAGAAAGCCATAGGTTTTTCAAGATTTTCACAAAATGCTACCAAACGGGCTTCGCCCGCGCATGTCGAAATCTGTCGAACGCCCTTTGCGCGTGTGCCGTCGCGAGAATCCTCTGCAAAAAATGGGACGAAGTGCAGACGCGCGCGTCGTCGCGCGCGTACGCCGAAATCCTTCAAAACCCATCGGTTTCGGAAGGATTTCAAAATCGCGCGTCCAAAAAACCTACAAAAACCCAAGGTTTCGCAACACGGATGTTCAACAAAAGCGTGCGCGCGCGCTCTTACGTCGTCGTCGTCGTCGTCCTCCCTCTTCCCTCGTCGTCGTCGTCGTCGCCGTCGTCGTCTTCTGTCTTTCCTCGTCGTCGTCGTCGTTTTGGCGTCGTCGTCGCTTCCGTCGTCGTTGTCGCCGTGGTCGTCTTTCCTCCCTCGTCGTCTTCGTCGGCGTTTCGTCGTTGTCCCTCCTATTTCGTCGCCGTCGTCGTCGTCGTCGTCGTCTTCACTCCTCCCTCGTCGTTATCCTCCTCCCTCGTCGTCGTCGTCGTCCGTCGTCGGCGTCTTGTCGTCGTCCCTCCTATTTCGTCGCCGTCGTCGTCGTCTTCGTCGTCGTTGTCGTCGTCTTCGTCTTCCCTCCTCCCTCGTCGTTGTCGTCGTCGGCGTCGCCGTCCTTCCTCCTTCTTCGTCGTTCGCGTCGTCGCCGTCTTCCCTCATCCATCGTCGTTGTCGTCGTTGTCGCCGTCGTCGTCCTCCCTCCTCCCTCGTCGTCGTCTTCGTTGGCGACGTCGTCGTCGTCTTCGTCGTCGTCGTCGGCGTCGGCGTCGTCGTCGTCTTCGTCAACGTCGACGTCGGCGGTGTCGTCGAAGTCGGTGTCGGCGGCGCCGTCGTCGTCGTTGTCGCTGTCGTCCTCGGCGTCGGTGTCGTGGCCAAGTGCCATGTGGTACCTACCGTCACGGTCTTGTCTTAAGAGGTCTTGCGACCAAGTTGCGGGTGGGAGGGTGTGATGTTTGCACGAGCAGTGGAGAGGACGACTTCAAGTTCAGCAGAGTGGATTACACCACATAGATTGTACCACATTGATCGCACCACCTGGATCGCACCGCATAGATTGCTCCACATGGGACGCCAGAACGCACAGTTTGGGGCCCACGCTGGCGAACATCAGATGTTGTAACCACAGTCATTGGGCATTGGGGCCCCAGTGACGGGCAAAATCGGGCGCTTCTGGGCGCTTCCAGGGCGTCTCGTCTGACTTGTCTAAAGGCCCAGGTGGCGGCGCTCGGAATCCGAAACTCCAAGATGGCCTAAGAGGACCCCATCTTTTCTTGGAGTCTTCATGCGGGTCACTTGGGTCGCGCTGGGGGCCCAGAAGATCATCCCAAAAGGCCGAATAAGATCAAGAGGCCATTAGTTGTTAGTTTGATGTTCGCTTCCTCGCCTGTATGGTCTTGCGAGCATTCAAGGCGGCCCAACAAAGCTCCAAGGCCACCCAGAGACGGCCAGAAGCTCACAAGACGGCCCAAAAGGCAAGCCCAAAAAAGAAAACTCGACGGGGGGCCCGGTACTCACCCCGGCACCTTGACCACTAGAGGGGCAATCAAGAAGGACTCGGACTCATATCCAGAGCCCTCCACGCCAAGATGACCCCCGAGATCTCAAACAGGCTCTCAAGAAGCGCCCGAGATGCCCCCAGAGGCCCCCAAGAGGACCCCAGGAGGCCACTAGGAGCTCCAAAGAGGCCCCCAAGAAGCCCCTTAGAACACTCCCAGAGGTTCCCAAGAAGCATCCCGAGACACTCAAAAAGGCCTCTGAGATGAATCTCGCTCACGACCCAAGAACGATGGCAGGATGGAACAAAGACCACTAAATCATACTATAACTGACTCACAATACATATAGATTCACACATATAACCATTCAACTGTCTGGCATGCTATCTGACTATATCACTAACCTTCCACCCACGGGAGGCCCGCGCGCATGGCGTGTGGATCACCACGTGTCCACACCTACGCGGTCGGCCCTGCGTGCACAAACAAGTCAGGGCGCTGCCAGACGTAAAACCAGTCGAAGTAAAACCACAAGGTAGTGAGCCCCCAAAGACCAGAAAGGATGGATGGGATGGAGGCTACTGCACGACACTGTCATGAAGCAGCGCCAGCTGGCATCGGGCAAACTCGCACACAATTACTTGCATTTGGACGATGCCGCTGCATGTCTCTGGGCATGGTCGACACACAGGCACACAACATCAACTATGAAAGGGGACATGGCACAGTCGTGTAGTCGTCGTGACGCCTGCCTGTCCCATCCAAAACCATCAGGAAAGTTGAAGGTCTGCCCCATAGACCTATTCGCGCGGTCCTGTCTTTGCTTCGACCACACTTGCTTAAGCCATTACTGCTGCTGCAGCGCTGAAGATGTTGCTACTATCCTGTCGCCACCATGTTACCCTGCCGCCGCAACATCGCCACTGTGCCACAGGCGCGCCGTAAACCCAGATAAGGTGCGTTTTGTTTGCTGCTGCGCCGCGCGAACATCGCACCTACGCGACCAACACTAGGACTGTGCGCGTGGTGGAGCCTGTTGAATATATCATTCCTTCACGGGGTAGAGAAGGGAGAGGAGAGGGAGGAGAAAAATGGGAGGAAGGACAAAAGCGTGGGTGGGCGACGGCGACATTCATGAATGACCTGTTTTCAGATGGCCTGGGTGTGAAAGCGAATCGTAGTATCAACCTGTACAAAACTGACTGATCTCCACAACGATCTCCGGATTACATTCCGCAGTTCTGTAGTTGTCTGTCCTGCCCAATTCGACCAGGCTCAGCCTACTCTCATTTGCGTCTACTGGTTGGGCTGTAAAGTGTGTGCCAAGATCGGAAGCTATTCCATTAGCAAGATGGGAGGGTTCAGTTTGGACTACGGACTGACACAAGAGCAACGTGTTACATGTGTCCAATGCGTTATCCATGTTCATGATGGGTGCGTGTGCTCCTCCACCTTCTCCTCCCTACAGGAGCGTTTTCTCGGCCGCTTAATCGACGCAGTCATTGGTGTTGCCCCTGCTGGCATCTGCTTACATGTTTCAAAATGTCACCTAGACTTTTAGCTGAACAGCGTCTGGCCGAATCAACTTTCCTTGTGCGAGCTTGGCGGCTTAGAGGCCACGAAGCAGCTAAAAGAATTGATGATCGCATCCTGCACCCACAACTTGAATTTGCCTGAAAACCTACTGTGCCTCAACAACGAATACATATTCTTGATCGTTGTCATGCAGAGCCCCATAGGTGCTTGTACTTCTCGCGTGCTATCGCATTCTTCGTTCAGGCAACCTCCCAAGTACTTAAAGTCGACCATGCGTGCAAACCTGGTGCCATCCACAACATGTACGGTTTCCAGAGCAGTGCTTGCACTTAGGGGCTCTTACTTGTCTCACACAGGCATTGAACGAATGCGCCGAGGATTCGCATTGTTCAGGCCCGTTGCTGCCCGTGGTCGCACGTCGCTGCCCGTTGCCGCTTGTGCGGATGCGTCGAGGAATCGCCACATTCCCACCGATTGCCGCCCGCTGCCGCCCGTTACCGCCCATTGAAGCCGCTTGGGTGGGTGCGTCGAGAATTCGCCGCCCGTCGCCGCCCGCTGCCGCCGAGGTGGCAGCGTCGAGGAGTCGCCACACGTGCCGACCCGCTGCCGCCCGTGGCCGCCCGTTGCCGCTCGGGTGGGTGCGCGTCAGGATTCGCAGCGTTCCCGCCCGCTGCCGCCCGTCGCCGCCCGTTGCCGCTGAGGTGGCAGCGTCGAGGAGTCGCCACACGTGCCGACCCGCTGCCACCCGTTGCCGCCCGTTGCCCCTTGGGTGTGTGTGTGTGTGCGTGTGTGCGTCGAGGATTCGCCACCTTCCGGCCCGTTGTCGCCCATCGCCGCCTCGCGCGCTCCCGCATCCAACGGGGAGACGCGAGGCGTCAAGAACACGGAAAGCAGTGGGACCAGCTCTCTGTCAGCCGCTCTGTTGCCCCGAAGCGTTGGGACAGAGCTTCCACCAGGTGCACCACGCAGTTTCCACCACATCGCCTTCACCACGTAGCTTTCACCACATTGCTTCCAGCACAAGAGTTATGATGTTCCTACCTATTCTAGCCTTGATCACCAGAAAGAATTTCGAGCACCAAGAAAGGAACGAGACTGGAGGGTTTTCACGTGTCGGGCCCTGGGAGGCGATACTCGCTCGACACTGTTTCGATACTTGTTGGGTACTCGAAATTATGTCTGGCATTTGGTCCTCGAGTACGATGGGAGCAGCATGACAAAAGAATGCGAAAACTCACTGTTTGGGGCCCACGCTGGTAGACGTAGGCTTCACCACACGAAACGGAAGTGCAGTCGAGTCCCGTTGCAGCCAGACTCACACTCAAAACCTCCTTCGCATTAAGGGCAGAGGCACGGCGCAGAAAAAAACAGCGCACGGGCACGAACGACCTGCCTTTTTTTTAAAGAAGAACCAAATCCTTCTCCTCGTCCTCCTCCTCCTCCTCCTCCTCCTCCTCCTCCTCCTCCTCCACATCCTCCTCCTCCTCCTCCTCCTCTTGCTCCTCTTCCTCCTCCTCCTCCTCCTCCACAATTACTCAATATGAATATACTCTCCCTCTTCCCCTGATGGCGTCCGGGTGATAGCCGCGCACCCTCCGCGTACTGTTTTTTTACACACAGGATGCCCGAAAAATCCCGGGAAACGACTCTCGCTGAGGCGCCGGCGTCATTTTTTCTCAAAATGCTGCTCTCGCGCCGGCGTCATTTTTTCCCAAAATGCTGCTCTCGTTGAGGCGCCGGCCTCATTTCTGCTCCCGAATCCTTCCCCTGATGGCGTCCGGGTGATAGCCGCGCACCCTCCGCGTACTGTTTTTTACACACAGGATGCCCGAAAAATCCCGGGAAACGACTCTCGCTGAGGCGCCGGCGTCATTTTTTCCCAAAATGCTGCTCTCGTTGAGGCGCCGGCCTCATTTCTGCTCCCGAATCGTTCCGAATCGTGCTCCCGCTGCAGCGTGGGCCTCATTTTCGGATCGGTGTTTGGCCTCCGTCGTTCAGGATGGCGTTCTCGCCCCAGCGCGGGCCTTTTCTCGCGCGCCCATCCGCCCGCCACCACCGCGCACCGCACCACCACCACCACCACCACCACCACCACCACCACCACCACCACCACCCACCACCACCACCACCACCACCACCACCACCACCACCACCACCACCACCACCACCAGCACCACCACCACCACCACCACCACCACCACCACGACAACCACGCACACACGCACGCACGCACGCACGTGCACCACCACCCACTACGCACGCGCGCGCGGAGCCACAGGTCCGCTACGACACGCGTCCGCGGATAGAGAAAATCAGCGCCATGGTAAGGGATGGGAGGGAGGGGTAGGACGTCAGATATGACGCGAGCGCACCTAGCTTGCCCTCTCCCCCTCTCCCCCCTCCCTCCCCCCCCTTCCTCGCACAGCATTCAACCACACTCGCAGCGTCGGCCATACTGGACAAAAGCACTGTGTGCGCACTCCTGACGGCCTCAAACCGTTATATACTGAACACACGATGAAAGCCAAATACATGGGCCGGCATCGGGCTGGCCGACGTAATCCACACACACACACACACGAACACGGACAACAAAAGGTGAGCCTACGTATGTGTACACGTGTACGTGCACGCGCTCGTCATAACCACATCCATACGCTGCGATGACTGAGGCGCTGGCAATGAGATCAAACAAAGGTAGGCGGAAGCAGCTTTGAGCGGCATCGAAAAGGCACTTCACGCAGTGACCGCAACACGTTGATGGACTTCCGATAGAGCACACAAGACACACAGGACAACAACGATAACAAAAACTGCTAAAAAGAAATGCGAAACTCGGAAGTTCGCCGATCCGGCGTGTGAGTTTAAAAAGCTACAGCCTGAGCTTCAGCTCCGCTAGGCAGAGGGCCGGGGGGGCTCTGCCAGGGAAGGGGGGGTTCTACCACTTCCCCGGCTGCTCCCGCGCCGCAACGCCGCCAAGGCCGCTCAGACGGGCCATGAGAGCTCTTACACGCCCACGATGGCCCCAAGACGGACCAAGAGGCCCCCAGGAGGCCCCAAGAGCGCTCCAAGAGGACCCCCAGGAGGGCCCCAAAAGGCAAAAATAACTGATTCCCCTTATGGTTTTCCATGTCTTCGATGTTCTCGCCTTTTCGAGCTTGACGCTCCAAGATGGCCTAAAAGACCCCGGAAACTGCCCTAAGACAACACGAGAGCCCCCCTAGAGGGCTCCAAGACGGCTCAAGAGAACCTGGAAATGGCCCAAGAAACGCCCAAGACCGCCCATGATGGCCCCAGGACGGCTCCAAGCAACATGAACCGACGATTCGAGCCTTCCGCCCCAAGAGGCCCCCAGGAAGCCCCGGCAGGCCGCCCCCGAGAGGCCCCAAGGAGCCCCCCACAAGGCCCCCTGATAGGCCACAAGAGGCTCCCAAGATGCCTGAACGAGGCGCCCAAACGGCCCCGAAGAGGCTTCACAACTGCGTCCATGAGGCCCCCGAGAAGCTTCCCACGAGATCCCAGCGAACCTCCAAAAAGCCTCGGACCCTCAGCTCAGGCACGATGGCGGGAAGGGCCGAAGACCACCAGATCCGCCGCCTCCTTTTGATGTATCACAAGGGTGCCTGGCGTGCTCGATCCTACAGTGGGGCCCCATGCCAAGAAACACCCTGCTTGCCTCCAGGGTGCCCTGGGTTTCTTGGGTTTCGATGGTTTTGCCATGGAAAGCGTGGCGTTCCCACACCAAAAATCGATGGACGTCCTGGGGTCGCAGGGTTGGGCTTGTTTGTGGAAAGCTTCTTGTGGTCGGGCCCCTCCTGTACGGTTTTTGGTGTGGGTGCTTTTCCAAAAAAAAATCCCCCTGGGATTTCGGCCCAGCGCGCTGGTCACCCGGAAGGAACTGGAAAGCAACTCAACGTGCGCAAACAAGTCTGAATGACGGCTCAAGATGGCCTCGCCGACGGCCAAGATGTCTCAAAATGGTCTCCAAGATGCCTCCAAGACGGCCAGCATGGCCCCAAGATGCACCCAAGACGGCGCAAGATGGCCTCAAGATGGCCTGCGACGGCCCAAGAGGTCCGCAAGAGGCCCCCAAGAGGCCTCCAAGACGGCCCAAGAGGCCCTCAAGAGGGCCTCCAGGAAGGCCCAAAGAGGCCAAAATTGCAGATCTCCTCAGGTTTTGTTTGATGCTGCATTTGTTTCTTTGGGGCCGTCCGACGGCCCGAGACGGCCCAAGAGCCCTCAAAGATCGCCCCAAGGTCGCCCAAGAGGCCTCCAAGATGGCCCCAGAACGGCAGAGGAGGTCCCCAAGACGGCCCCAAGAGGGCCCCAAGGCGGCCCAAGAGGCCTCCAAGACGCCCAAGTCCAAGACGGCCCTGGAGCACCCCAAGAGGGCCCCAAATCGACCCAAAAAGGCCCTCAAGACAGCTTCTGACAGCGCTAGGCTGGCCAGGAACGCCCGAAGACTGGCAAAGAGGCCACCGAGAAGCCCCCATAAAGGCCCCGAAGAAGCCCAAGGAGGCCCCCTGGATGCCTCCAAGAGGCTCCCAGGAAGCTCCCAGGAGGCCCCAAGAGAGCACCCAGAGGCTCTCACGATGCCCTTCCTCCACCTCCTCCTCCTCCTCCTCCTCCTCTTCTTCCTCCTCCTCCTCCTCCTCTTCTTCCTCCTCGTCCTCCTCCTCTTCCTCCTCCTCCTGATCTTCCCCGCCATCCTCCCCCAAGTGTTCCCCGAATGGTTTCCACAACGGCTGGGGGAACACATGGTCCGATAGCGTGGCAGAGCTCTTGCAACAACGCTCGGCCACATGGGCGATTACAAAAAGGCATGGGGCGGCAGTGATTCTCCGTAGGCGCCTTAGGTAAGAGATGACATACATGACGGGAAAGAGCAGCATACGATGAAATATTCACACTACAACCCGCCTAACGATCCACCAACGAGCCAACCCCTTCGGGAATCAGCCCGCCAACAAGCTCGACAGACGGACACGACGCAAAGACTCCATTCAACACATACTGCCTAAGGCGACTGCCAACATCCTCCTTCCCCTCCTTCTCCTCCTCCTCCTCCTCCTCCTCCTGTTCCACCTCCTGCTCCTCCTCCTCCTCCTCCTCCTCCTCCTCCTCCTTCTCCTCTCGCATCCTCCCTCCTGCCTCCTCGAGGTAAAGCTCACAAACTCTTGAACAAGACAAGCTCGCACGGAGCGTCCCCCGAGCGTCTCCGATCGGCGGCACAGGCCAGAGGCCTCTACGGTATTCAAAACCATAACTAGACACGAAGGCACGGCCTTGAATCCAATACCGCCTTGGCGGCGTTCAGAAAACCAGGAATATCCAATAATCCCGAAGCCGTCGCGTGGAAGTTGTCCGAGCTTTCCCAATGTATCCCTGAGAAGCCCAGCGCGGAAGCAAAGTCCGCCCACTCGGGAGAAGATGAGCGTGCCCAGTCCGCTGTGAGGGCCATCGTGTTCATCGCGAGTTCCCGCAAAGCTGCAGAGTGCACGCCGCCGTCGCCACCCTCTGTCGAAATGGACTCGATGACCAGCCAAGACCGGCCACCCCAAAAAACTATCTCGTCTATATAGGCTCTAAGGACATCACGGCGGATAACTGAGCCGTCGCGCGCACATGTCCAAGAATCAGCACCGAGATCTGGAGGGACGGTCAGCCCTCCCAACGCGTTGACGAACTGGAACTCCATGATGCCGAAGTTCCCCTGCATGTGGCGGACTCGCATCCGGGCCTCCTGCAAAATTGTTGTGACAAGAAAGTACGATGATACAAAACACCCAAACCAGCGGAACGAAACGAAATAACACATGAGCACTGCAATAAATCACTCAGGTATAGTACTCCTGCCTCCTTCTCCCTAGCAGGCCTCCCACATCCTCTCTTACGCTGTCGTTGACTTTGCGATCCTCCTCAATCCTTAACACTTATCATTGCGTCATGGCTCACTTTTTCATGTTCGCATTTGGCACTACATCTCCCTCTCTATCTATAATATATCGCTCTCTCTCTACCTCTCTTTCTCGCTACCTCTTCTGTCCCTCTATGTTTATCTCTGTCTCTCACTCTATCTGTCTCTACCTCTCTACCTCTCTCTCTCTCTCTCTCTCGTTCTATCCTGACTCTCTCTCTCTCTCTCTCTCTATATATATATATATATATATATATATGTATTTCTGTCTCTCTCTCTCTCTCTCTTTCTCTCTCCCCCCCTCCGCTCTCTCTTTCTCTCTGTTTCGTTACAGAGAAGCCGTACAATCATTATCATCCGTGACAGAGAAGCCCGTCTTCGCTTCACCCCAATTTCTTGCGTACACGAAACCAGTGCTCCGCCAGGCCATAAATCCGGATATGAATTTCTCTCGACGAGTGCAATGCGCAAGCGGGAAGCAACACGTCCAACAACGATGCTGTTCACCGTGCCGCGGCACACAAAACAGCCTGGTACATGTGTCATGCGACAGCCCAGTCGCCAAAACGAACGCAACACACACACACACACATGACTGAAACATGAACAAAAAATACAAAAGAAACAACAACAACAACAACAACAACAACAACAACAACAACAACAACAACAACAACAACAACAACAACAACAACAATTACAACAACAACAACACAAACACAAAAAAACGACGTCCTCCGGCGATATGCCGTCGAATTGTGACAGGAAACCATACTCTCCTCGTAAAGGGCCATTGTAGCCGTTTGGAGCATGTCCAGCGCTGCTCTGTAGAAACATGCTGAGCATGACGAACCTCAAAACAATGAATCATCGCCAGGTCCGTTACTCACGCGCTGAGTACTACCAACTTTGGCACGATCACTCTGACCGATCGTTCCTGTCGCTCTCCATGTGTTCGCTCCCACAGCACGAGTATAAACGTGTAGTTTGCGTAGTCTAGAGATCATGGTCCAACTTAATCGCCACAAAAGCTGGCCGAATCATGCTGGTTTATGACATATCAAAGACATGCTGATCTTACGACCGCGCCTCAACACGCCAAGTCTTGCTCAAATCACTCACTTCAGGCTCGACCACGCGTCCTACAAGATCACTGGACACATCACTCTACCGGTAACAAAGCTGCATGGGGAACCGAGCTCTGACCAAAATAAAATAGGCCATCGGCGGCAAACAATGACAACGCGCGGGATCCGAACTGAAACGCCGCGCCGCGTCCTAAGCCCAAACTGCGTGAACACATGAAACGGACTCAACAAAGTGCAACAAGCAACATGGAAAAACAGTGTCACTCGCGATGCACCCGCAAACGCGGACAAACTCGTCATTAAAGTTGGCGATTTGCATGAATTCACGTGAGGACGATATGAAGCTCAACTGGCAGCTAGCACTCGCTGGCGGCATCCTCGCACTTGCATCGCAACTGATATCTTCCCGACAGCCATTGGAAAGAAAAACGCTGGAACGTACCACACTGAGCGTGTGAAATCCTCTTTCCTCGCAGGCCACCCCCTCCCCCAACCCCTGGACCGACTCAATGAGCAGCGAACGTATGCATATCCACGACGTCGCGGTCTGGAGTCCAGGGCCCGATCCCACGGATACACGGTCGCATGGATACGTTCCCCGCGAAGCATCTGCGGGAAAGAACGCCCCGGCTCCACGGGACTGCGGCCCCAGGAGCCTGGCCCGCGAGGCCGTGGAGACACGGACATGTTCTTCGCCCGCGACGCGTGTCATTGCTTCCCTGCCTCGCTGCAGCTCCAACGCCAGGGCCCCAGCGGGGAACGAAAAACGACTCCAAGGTGGCCCCCGGACAGCCCGAGGCGGCGACAGCACCTGCTCTTCGCCCCATGGGCCGCGGCCTGTGCTCTGACGCCGAATTCCGGGAGCAGGCCCAGCAGAGCCATCTGTGGGCCCGACAGTCCGAGGAGGAGGAGGAGGAGGAGGAAGACGAGGATGAGGAGGAGGAGGAGGAGGAGGAGGAGGAGGATGAAGAGGAGGAGGAGGAGGAGGAGGAAGAGGGGAGGAGGAGGAGGAGGAGGAGGAGGAGGAGGAGGAGGAGAAAAAGGAGGAGGAGGAGGAGGCGTGGCAGTGCTATCGTCGCCTCTGCCCTGGCGAAAGATGAGCGCCTCAATCACAGAAGGACCCCCCAGGGCACTCCAGGAGCCCCGCGCGGTCCCACGAGCCGCACGGAGAGGCCCCGCGAGCAGCCCGAAGCGGCCCCAAGCGAGTCCGGAGATGGCAGACCCATTCAGAAACTGCCGACGGTCTCTCCACGGCTTCAGGCGCGGCTCGGGGGAAGAAAACGAAGCGGGACCTGCCTGGCGGCGCTCACACGCGACGCCGCGTGTCCAGCAGGAGCCAAGAGGACTGCGAGCAGGCTGCGACAAGGAAGCTGCTGGGCCCCGACCTGCTGGACCCCAACCAGCGCCTCTCGATTCCGTGGGACCTCCGAAGACAAAGGCGAAATGAGGCTCGTCGAGGAAGATTCCAAAACGAAAAAAAACACTAAACTGAAAACAGCACTACGAAATACTGAACCAACCCCTCTCCTATGAAACGTATCCCATCGGCGCTACGCTAAACACGCGTGGTGCTGTGCTGAGTGCTCGGTGCCGTAACTAATTGCCAGATGCCGTCAATGCGAGGTACCGTGTGTCTTGCTCAGTGCATGGTGCCGTGTCTTGTGAGTTTCGCGATCCCGTCAGCACGACTCGCATGGCGGTTCAAACCTGGTGGATGGCGCCGTGTGAGGCGAAGCACACGACACCAATATACTTACCCGAGCTTGGTGCAGTGCTCGGTGCTGGGCGCCCGCCACTCATCGCGGCCGCGGCGCCAGAGCCACCTCGGGCCACGGTGGACTTGTGGGGTCCAAAACCCAGATAGCAGGCCGCCCGAGGGGGCGCGGGAAGGGCCCGTCGAAGGACTCTGGGAGGACCCGCAGAGAGCTCCCGAAGGACCTTCTGGAGAGCTTCCGGGCTCGCGTGTTGGGAAAGGCTTGCCCTCCGGCCGCCTGAGGCCCCGCCCGCCTGCGCTCTGCCTCCCCAATTAGTGCTTTGCGCGGCCCACCTAGCTTTTTTCCGGAAGAGGCTCGCTCTCGACCCGCAGACAAAAAAAAAGTGCTGGGAAAGGCTTCGAAAGGTCTCTCGGGACACGATGCAGCCTCGAGCAACTCGCGCCGAGGTGCTTTCACGGAAGCCGGAAGGATCCCTGGGGCTAGGCGGCTACCCTGCGGCTCCGGCTTCTTGATCTCCAGCCCTCATGGCCCTCCACGCGCTACCCGGGAAGCAAGAGAGATGGCGCTTTCGTGGCCATCCCGCTTCTCTCGGCCACGAGGCCACTGGGCCACACAGACCGCGCCGAATGAGTATCGTTTAACCGATCCCCATCCCCAGCGGCGTGGCCTGGGCCCCACTGGCCGATTTGGGCCCCTAGATAGGGGATACAGGCCGTTCCCTTCGGGTTTCGAGGGGTGCATCGCCAACCGGGGTGGTAAGTTCGTGGGGGTCTCGAAGGGGATGGGGATGGGGATGGGGATGGGGATGGGGATGGGGATGGAGATGGGGATGGGGATTGGCTCAACGATACTGATCTCTCGGCCACGAAGCCACTGGGCCACAGAGACCGCGCCAGATCGCGAGGGCGCGCCGCGCGATCGCCCGAGCCCCTCGCTGCCCCGGGGGGAGGCCCCGGGCCGAGCCAGAGAGCGCAGGCCTCCTCTCGGGCGGGCGGGGGAGGCCGCGGGACCGCGGGGCAACGAGCTCGCCGCGAGGCCCGCGCTCGCACTCCTCGCCCGGCCTCCTGGCACCGAGGGGCCGCGGGGCCACGAGGCTGCCGTCGGGCACGTCCTCCTGCAGGCGGATTTCGGGCGCAAAGGAAAAAAGAAGGACTCCAAAAATGTTCAAAAATAGTGCAGCAGGATCCAAAAATCGTCCCCAGCCTATGTTGTAACTGTTTTTTGAATATTCCTCCACAGACCCGACTGAACACGAGGCCACGGTCGCACACAAGATCGCGCACCAGCAGCCCCCAAAAAAACCCTGTAACCAGCCTCGAGCTGATCCCCGTCCTAGAGACTGACCGGCCCAGGGCGGCGAGAATATCAGGGACGTGCCCTCAGAAGCTGAGGGAATCCTTCAGATCAGCATCGAGACCAGGTGGTGCCAGTCGCAATGGTAGGAGTGTATTTCGGCCCTCCCTCATCCATCCTCCCACTCCTGGGGCACGACGGCTTCCCCAGCCCACATCCCTGATCAGGACAGCTCGCATGGGCATTTTTTGGGGATTGACGGGTGGTGGGAATATTTTTGTTGGTCTGCGGCCGCGCGACAACGGTCTGGCGGCGAGAGGCAATGTCCGGGGCGGGCGGCACAAACGAATTGGCGACCCCAACCGCCACTTGGCAGGCCGTATCGCACCTGCACAGCAAGCGTGCAGTTGCACATGCACTGAACAAAATGCTCTGCCTTCACCAGCAGACGCACATAGGCGCCGCCCAGTATACCAAAGTGTACAAGCGGCCGCGGGTGCGAGTGCAACGGAGTGAGTCGCCCGTGCGGCGCCAAACTCCAAGCAGCCAGCCCGGCTAGCTAAGAAGCACGAGCCTGGGAAACCGGGCTGCCGGCGGTGGAAAACAAGAGGCAAAAGACGCGGAAGGCTGAACCACTCAGCGCGCAGCCCTCGAACTCCACCACTGAATTGAAGGGGCCAGCGGCACCCATCGCATCGAGTCCGGCGCCTGCGTCGAATGGCCCGGGGTGGATGCGACGATGCGTTAGACGCGGGCTGTACCAAGCTGCAACACTCAAAGCGAGGCCTTCGGGCATACAACCCCCAGTGCCGGTGGACACCAGCGACTGCCCCAGCACCACAGTGCCGTCCTGCTGCGGAGAGGCCCACCGATGCCAGCCGCGGACAACGCAGAGGGTCGGCCCGTGGGGGGGAGACCTCCGAGCTGCCTGTCCGACAGGTCTTCCGACATGGCCTCCACGGCCGCCGCGGGCCAACCCCTGAGGCACAATGGGGGACACCCACCGGGCCAAAGCGGCGGGAGGCGCGCCGTCCCTCACCGCGGACAGCCCGCAGCAGCGCCCGGGCGTCTCCTGTCACCCGTTTTGTCCAGGGGTGGGTGCCACCCGCGGATAGCACCTTTGCAGTGGAAAAGGGGGTGCAGCTAACCGCCGCAAGATACAAGTAACTTGATAGCAGCTGCACGCCGAGAACATCTGCGCATGAGGGGTGTGCAGCTAACCGCCGCGAAACACAATTACATCGAGGGGCGGGGGGCAGAACCTCGCCGATGCGGTCCGAGCTGGAGTGTGCCAGCGTCGGACGCGCCTCATGGGGGGGTGGTGGTGGGAATACGCGCAGCGTACGGAATTACATAGAAAGGGCGGAAATGACCACCCGTGATTGCGTGGTGCGGGGTGCCGACCTATGGCGCAAAAAGGTGGAGATGGGGAAACCACAAGCTACCGATGCCGCTACTCCCACGACCTCTCCCGGGGAGGGTCCTGACCAGAATTTCGAGGCGAATCTAGCGGTGGCGACGAGGGCCTCCTGGGAGGCCGGAAAAGGGAAAAGCGGGCGAAGGGTATGTATGGGTCCCTTGTCATCCTCCGAAGAGAGGACCGTCGCGTATATGCCACCACGGGGCCACGGACCACGGCCGTCTGACAGGGCCCACCACCCCGAGGCCACGAGAGAGGCCACGGGCCGACGACGGCGGTGGCCCATCAGGCGGCGCTCGGGGTGACCCGCCCGCCTCCTCGCGACCCAGGGGAGGGCCGTGGGCCTGCAGCTTGACATGGGAGGCACAAAGACATACTTGCACGACGGGAAAAATCACAACGGGAGCCATAGACCAAGACAAAGCCAGGACGAGGACGAATGGGGCGCACAGAGACATACTAGTACTAAATGTCCTCCTTGCAGGCGCGCGTCCGACCCGAACATATAGTATACCCTTCTTGTAGTGGGTCGCTTTCCGAGCGGTTTGGCCAGAAAGCGCACGCCACGACGCATATGCTACAAGATCCCTCGGTGCGCGCGTCGCCGCTGGAGGGGCGACGCACATATAGTATGAGCATGTTGGGGTGACGCCGATGACAAGAGACGGGCCCGTTGGCGACGAAGCGGAGCCTTGCCGAACCGAGCAG